AGTTGGGACCCCCCCCAACCCATCAAATCAAGATTTTGGCACCCACAATAGCCGACAAGAGCCGGTAATTGACACTCAACACTGATCTAGCTTGAAGAGGACTTACTGATTGGTACCCCGTCTGTCTTATAACCTGGCCAATTTGGTGACCTGTTCACTTGGCCTGATGAAGCTTTTGTGTCAAAGGCGAAACGTTGCCCAAATAAAAACTACCGATCGTTTACCAAGCTCTTCTGAAACGGTGACTTCTCAATCGGTTCCAAACGTTTTCCGATTGTATCTATTTTTATCAAGTACACCTAACTACTGTATTCATCACATTCTAGTAAGATAGACATTTGTTAGTGCTTTTTACCTTCTGATAATCAACTTAATTACGTCACTACTAGAGCACTAACGGAGTCAATCTAGTATTGCTTTGCGTAATCTATTTCAAGGATGCTAAACCGACTGATCAAAAGTAACCCACATGCATAATGTGAGTTGTGTGGTTCGGTGGATGGGAAAGCCAGCAAACAGCTCGAAAACCTCTCAAAATGCTTCCACAAAACCAGCCATTTGAGGCCTCTGTCAAGAAAACCCTGCCCATTGTTGAAGCGGGTGTCCAGCGTTTCCACCCGGTAGCATATGGCTAGCCTGATTTCGAACCACCAACAGATGGCATATGAAGCGTAATCGGCTCACGTTTCTGGAGGAATAAAACTGTCACTCAGAACTCCACTAGGGCCAGTGCTACCAATCGAATGCACCCATTCAAAGGGTATACAAACCACCCTCAGAAAGTCATAGATCATAAACTAACTCACTGTCATGTGGACCAGCCTCTTCAACCAAAGACTACGAGGGGAAATGAGATGCCTGTATAGTCTTACGGCCATTTGGTTGACCGGCTTACTAACTGGTCAATGCATACGATTCACCACATTCCTGAACGCTAAGGATAAGAGTGAGGGATAATTATATGATTGCCAGCAAGTTTTCCTATCGCAGCCTTCGCAGTGAGGTTATGGTAGTTTTGTAAACTAATACGGTACTATAATTGGGGAAGTATTGAATTAGGCTAAACGCTAATGACGCAGGCACTTAGACGGTAAACAGGTATTTAGCGCCAGCGTTCATTGCACGCAGCGACATTTAGGGAGGCCGATGGTCAACAAGAGGCCCTTGTGCACTTGCTCGCCGATCCAATTATATCCGATGAGCATCAGCACCACACTGGGCTCAGGAAAACCTACGATGATTTATCAAATAGGTGCAGACGACCAGTGGATGAACCATTTATGACCGGCAAATTTACTTCGGATGCTGATTACCCGTATACTTCAACGAATGAAGAAAGGACGCTGAACATCGACAACATGGGGAAGAAAGAATTGCGTTTCGAAACTCCATTCCCAAAACGCCGTCTGAAATGGGATGGACTAAAACAATCAGTCGCCAGAAAATCTGTGGTCAGTATTCATCGGATGTCATGGGTAACTGGATAGCATAGTTGATGTACAAGGCATTGTAATCGAAGTAACATCAAGCTTGTCCTATCAGTATCGAGATTCGAGTGTTCTATTAGTAAATACAAAAACAGACATGATAACCGAGTGGTGCAAAACGCTGTACCGCTTAACGTAGACTCAAGGTCTACGTCATACCAAATAAGCAATCTGGTGTGCGAGAATTACGAATGTTAGCCACTTTTTCGACATGAAAACGGCACAAGCCAGAATTAATAGGAGTCAGTACCTATGAACAAACCCATTCCATAACTAATCAACTAACTTCTAATCAATTCAACTATCAAGCAATTAATCCGGTAAGATATAAAGTCATCTTACGCGTGTAGGAGAGAACCTGTTTAACGCGAGGGCTTAACAACCTTAAGACAAACAGGATAAACTGACTCCGCAGTGTATCCTTTGGAGTAAATCTCATGACGTGCATTTGGTAAAGATTGTATAGCCTTTTTATGCACCAATCAATATGCTGCAATTACATGGGACATGAGTGAAACTAGGGATACTGAGAGTATACTGACAGCGCAAGGCTCTATATCTAACTAGACTTCACTACAATGAACATAATCCTAGGAATGACGTCCGCTTCCACGTTCATCGTGGAAGCATCGAATCATACCGATGAATCCTCGTGTAGGATGGATAACAGTCTGACAGAGCACACCCATCTGAACTGGGTCTAGTGAAGAAAGCAACTTCATTTGCAGTCAAATGAAGGCAAATCAGCCCATCTTGAGGAGGGATACATAGTTTGTAATGTGAGCATGCATATTCGGGAGTGAAACGAATACGGATTCAGGGTTCTGCAGCAGCTGTACATCAAGACAAACACAGACATCAGGAGCTAAACAGTTAGGCGAATGTGAGGAACAGTTGAATGCATGCATTGGTGAAGAGCGATATGTAGACGCGAATCCGCCACAAAACGTCTCAGCATGAACCGAAGACGTAAGAGCACACCGCAAAAGCGACTGAAAGGCAGGTGGGAATTCGTTACACATAAGCCAGTTTTTCGACCACCTATCTAGCTAGTGATCAGTCAGACAGTCTTCCGAGCGTTTCGTATTGAGGCCTAGAGAACCACGTCAACGCTCTCACAGAGTAATAAGTGCGGGAGGATGAGACTGGAGAATATGAAGAGACGGTTGTGGAAACGCCATTGACTTTAGCCACGCATCCTAGCTAGAAGTTCTCCTCAGTATATTAGGTGAAAATGAAAGTTCTGAATTGAAATGTACTTATACACATAACGGGTACCAGTTTTCAATGTGCTTAATTGAAAACCTTCCCTCGACCAGAACCATTAGGGCGCCGAGTTTTAGCGCATCTGAAAACAAGACGTTACGATTCATGGTTAAGCAATCTACCAAACGTGACTCACATGATATTCCTTATCAGGAGAATTACTTCTAGATGAGGAACTGTCTGAACCGTCCGTCATACTTTTGCCATTCTGATCGCCACGCGAAATCTCACAACGTAGGCGGGTTCTCAACAAGCAAATGGAAGGACCTGGATAGGAATAAATGAGACATGAATGGTGGGCAACGTAAAGGATGTTACCAACTATTACCAGATAGTTTGTACTGTACATGGATCCAAAGAGAATGCTGGTCGCCGCTTTAAAACGAAGTGATTAGGTCCCTTCGATTTATTCAGTGTTACATAAACCAAGACGTAAAAATTCATTAGATTGGTTTCAGAACACTATAGTGTTGTAGCGTGTTAACTCGGGAAAGTGACAGTGCACAATCTTTCACGATGGACCGTTGTGGAATGGAGTATATATTTATAGGTTTCACGGCAAACTAGAATGCAAAAATGGCTTTACAAGACGCTTTCAAACTAACGTCTAAGTTTGCTGTTCATCATATCCCTCATGGGGTGTAAAAAAAAATGAAAATGACCTACTGGCTGTTCACAAGTGGCTTGAATGGAAACCTATGTATGTACAACGCATACAAAGGCGGTAATCGAACCCGCGATTTATTGTTTGCCGGGTGAGTGCTTTACCAGAGGCAGCCAGCACAAGTGAAATCGACGGTCATTGCTCTGTTGCACGACAAACCAACAATTGTCTGTAGGCGCCCTAAGTGGTCTCTTTGTATGGTCTCGGCAAGCGAGGAAGGCATTGATATTATCCACGACGCATTGGTATTGGTGCAAATCGACCCAAAGACAGATGTTCGGACACTAAACTAAGAAAGTAGGCAAATATCGTAGAGACAAGTCGATCTTACGCTTGCGAATCGATTGTCCTATAAAGAAAGCCACCACAAGAGCCCGAGGGTTCTCGCGCGTTCGTCGCATAAGTTGAGGTAATAAGTAGGGTTACACCTCTGCGGAAGCAAGGGTACCAAGGGTTGACAGAAATGAAAGATGAGAATTAAGGGTCTGGCAGAATCTATAAAGTACGACAGAAGAATGTGTTCAGTGCTTAGGCAACGAAGGACTAAGTTGGAACGATAGCAAGCTCGGACAACCAGAGCTGGGAATCATTAATCGTTTGATCATAGTGTAGTAAAATGCTCGATGAAAACATAGTGACAATTCTCACCTTCCATAGCGCGGCGAATACAGGATTGAAACGAACCGAAGGGGAACGGTGTTAGAAAACCCAATGTGCCAAGTCGGAAGGCGAGGACAGGAGGAACAGCTTGCTGCAAAAACCGGATGGGAATGGGCAGGAGCGTGAATATCGGGATAGTGACAAAAATTCATGCGCTGAAATACGGACAAACTGGTTAAACATCCATGAGAACCAGAATACTATCTAGATAGATCTGTCGCATTATGAATCAGACATGAAAACAGATTGCCAATGAAAAAGAGATCCACACAGCGACCTCTGAAGGCCTCTGTGTATTAATGCTTTAAGAGTCTGCAGTCAACTATGGTACACGTAGAAATTTCCAGTGCATAGAAGACTACACAAGGTCCAATCTAACCTCCTTGATGGCATGCGGTGAATGTATAACCGTTAATCAGTGTTCAGCAGAGCAAACATCACCCCAACAGGGTGTGAAACGTCCGTGTGAAACATCCGTTAAGTACCGGGAGACGAAAATGACTCTATTTCTATCAAATGAATGTTAGCGAATGAACTGCTCCTTGCAAGCGATTGCGCATCCACTACCAGAATTTGAGGAAGATAGCTTAAAAATAGAATTCGTTTTGCAGTAACAAGCTTTTGGCGCCTAGCTGCCATGCCACACAAAGAAAGCACGAGGAGTGCGGTACTGCCAGGTTGCTCCAGTTCACACAGTCGATATGCCGGGGCTGGGTCCGAACCACACACCTTCCGATAAGCAGGTTCGCGCCCTAACCACTGAGACATCTCGAGCTCCAAGGAAATAGTTTAAAACAGCTAGTTCATCAGCCGCTCAGGACGTGCGGCGACGTAGAAATCGACCGATCAATCAGTCACAGAGTGAGTACAGCTCTGCATATGCAACCGCCAACTTGTAGAAGTATACGCGACTGCTCATGCCAAATTATGATAGAAACAGTGTATGGTAATTTTCTGGTCGTCGGAGAAAAGAATGCTTTGATGTCGCTGATCCTATGTTAACAGCAGAAATACAAGGAAAACATCTAAATCGATGCCACCGCAACTTTAACCATCGAAGCAACATCTGCACGATTATGAAACCTGGTCGAACCGAGACTTATGTAAATAGGGCACTAAAATGGACTTGTCAGATTTATAATAAAACATAATCTCACCATAAACCCATATGATTGATAACGGGATGTCTTCAGCGAGATAGAATAGATAGATAACCAGACATTCAGGATTTCTCCAACTCTCTAATTAGTCCCATCGTACCATAAAATTCAAAACAAACCCAGGAGTCCTAGCTAAAGAGACACCAGGTAGCAATTCTGATAAACTCAAGTGACAACACTGAGCAATCACAAAAGACATTATGCATGCGAATACGGTCAACATGTTCCAGTGGTAATAAGTGTTAGTAAAGTCAGTAGGCTATTACTTTCCACCATTACTTAGTTCCTGAGAATGAGCTAGCAATTCGGACTTCCGTCCGAGAATTGCCACTGATCAGTTTGCAGCAGCGAAGGCGGGCAACCACTACAAACACCTGGGTGCATTATTCAGGCGACCCTGTCAAAAATAAACTGAACCCTACCGTAGTGTGGCGGTTTGTGTACCTCGGCGACCCATTGAGCTATACTGGGGAAGAGGTGTCCGGGCGATACACGCAGAGTCTCCCGTATCCGGTTAACCAATGGTTAGAGGACCAACAAACAGTCTCCTGACCCTTCAGGTTTGGGGTTGGAACATGTGTGGCAACTTGTTCCGCAAAAATGGTAATGTAGTTGCATTTCCAGCCGAACACTACGATATACTGCGGGTCAGGCTTTTGAGCTAAATGCTTTGGTCGAGGACCCTAGTCGTCCTCCTCTATAATGCGGTCAGGCTTTCGAGCCAAATGCTTTGGTCGAGGACCCTAATCGTCCTCCTGTCTACGTGTGGGCGCCCCGGCAGTATCCCAGTCAACATACAACCATGAACTGCACATATATCACTAAACTCATGCCACATTGGCCGTCGTGTGGTGCCACCAGCCGGGTCACCTTACTAGCTGCATGCAGTAGGGCGGGTAAGCAGCAACATGCCACTGCTGAGGTCCCCCTTCTTTGTCTTCACATTATTTTCCTTCACCCTCTCCCTACCCCATTACTAAGTCTTCCCTTCTAGGCCCAGCACCTAGGACTGATGACTCCGTTCGTCCTACAACGGTTTTGCAAGCAACATCTGCGCGTAATCCGGCGCCGACAGTCTCAGATATCTCGAAATCAACATTCAAGCCCCGACACCCTGTTCAGCTGGCCACCTTCAATGTCCGCACTCTGAAGTAAGCAGATAAAAGATAAAGATAATCATTCAGTTGTAACGTCCATTCGGTGCCTAGCTGCCATGCCACTCAAAGGGAGCACGAGGTCTAGGATACTGCCAGGTTGCCCAAGCCTAGACAGGAGAAGTCGAGAAGCAGAGGTCGGGTTCGAACCACGGACCTTCCGGTCAGTAAATCCGCGCTCTAACCACTTGAAGCAAGCAGGACAACAAGCTGCTCTTGATCTCACACTGGATTCGCTTGGCATTGTGTGACGTGTCTCAGAAACAAGAATTCAAGATTCAAGCGCGGTGGTTGAGCTGACCGCCCCATCACACTCCATTTGCTTCCGGCCACGCACCTATGTCAACGCAGAGGCTACTGTGGCAGGATGTGAAGGAGTTGGTATCGTCCTAAGTCACAGGGAAGAACAATCCTTGCTTGGCTTGATACTCGTTGATAGTCGCCTCTGCGAGGTTCATCTGGAAACGTCTGTGAAGGAGCCTAGCAAGGAGAAAGTCGATCGAAGTCTGTTTGTCGTGTCTGCTTACGCCCCAACTGATTGTAGCTCTGACGCCATCAAAGACAAGTTTTATGATGCCATGAATGCCCCGTTTCGAAGAGATAAAAGCTCAGATGTCATGGTTGTTGCCGGAGATATGAATGCACAAGTTGACAGGCTTAGCGCACGAGACTCAATTGGGTGGTCGACATGGAATGGATTCGGTACGTACAGACAATGGTGAATGACTGCTTCACTTGTGTGCTAACCGCAGGTCGTTTATATGAGGTACTAACTTCCGAAATAACGGACTTCGTCCGGCCACATGGTGCCCTCCAATGACGTGCCGGCCACAGACTCAAATCCATCATATTGCTATCAGTTACCGATGGCGCGGATCAACAACTGACAGCTGGTCGCCTTGGAACACATTTGTGGATTCCGACCACGCACTCGTCCGGAGTCACCTCTCCCTCCGTTTTCCAGGGCCGCGTGAGGTGCGGGAAAATGGCCTGGCAACTTAAATGCTGGCAGATCCGAATGTTAGACGAATTTACTAGAATGGCCTTCTAGGGTTTCTTCGAACTGCTTCACCATCAGATGTGCAATCATACTGGGACGAGATCGACCCTTCTTTGTACTGTGCTAGGAGTTTTGCTACCAAGCACTACCAAGCGCACCGGGTATTAGACCGAACAGTGTGATTGCTTAAATCTCGGAGAAACCACTTGAAGCGACGACGTCACGCGAAAGGGCGCGTGAAAACCGACCGTGAAGTCTGGTGAGCACAGAACGCCAAGGAAATGGAAGAGGCTTAGAATGCCGGTAATGCCCGAAGATTATTTCAGTTGATCCGTGCGACCGGTCCGTGGAAAACTCCTGTGAGCGAAACAAGAAGGGAGTGACAATGTTGAATAAAGAAGAGCGCCTCGATCGGTGGGTCGAATACTTCGGACAATAGCTATCGTGGCCACTGAGTTCCAGGTGAGCCTTTCAAAAAAACAAAGTTGTCTGCAAATGAGTGTATTTCGCTGATTTCGTGCAATTTGATTTCAAATAGAACATGAGGTTGACGGAAACTTGGGGACTGCGCCTATCTGATGAGTCCCAAGAAGGGCGAAACCGGCCGTGGGCTTTTGAAGAATTTTCAGCAACCTTATGATTAGTGCATTGCGAGTAGCCTTGAGGTGATGTTTGACGAGTCGAGAGAGTTGGAAGAGGGGACAGGCGAGTACCACAAATAAAAGAAGGTAAAAAGATCTTGAACATGACTAAATATGTATTGTGTTACACTTGACAGTTTAAAGCTCAACACACAGAGTAACTAACCTTGCACCCACCATGGCCACAGAACATGTTATGGGTTCACGAACAATCACTAGTTCTCGATGATTAAGGTGTAGAAAATGACGTCCGTAAAACTCAGATGCGCAATGGACACAACGCTTCTTACCTGAAACATCGAGCCGATTTTTAAGAAAGTTCCGTCACCTCCAAGACAGATGACCAAATCCACAGAGTTTGCATTTTGGCAATCATAAATCTTCACCGAGAGGTTTCTGCTCTGTGTGTCATTTGCACTCAAGATACACGGAACCGGGCCGTGATCAGGCAGGTGATCAGCTGAACTCGTAGCCTGCGGACCAGTTGTACGGCCTAGGATGGAACTGAAGTGTGCATCTTTCTTCAGTACAGCAACAGTTTCCGATTCGAGAAAAAGCGTAACATCCCAGGTCTACAAGTTAAAGCGAGTTTAGGTGTGTAGGCTGTACACAAACCCGGAAGGCTACACTATGCAGCAAATCCGAGTAGTCAGTAACGCCAGACAATCTACCTGATGATCGCCTTGAGGCCTTCTAGGGTTTCTTCGAACTGCTTCACCATCAGATGTGAAATCATACTGGGACGAGATCGACCCTTCTTTGTACTGTGCTAGGAGTTTTGCTACCAAGCACTACCAAGCGCACCGGGTATTAGACCGAACAGTGTGATTGCTTAAATCTCGGAGAAACCACTTGAAGCGACGACGTCACGCGAAAGGGCGCGTGAAAACCGACCGTGAAGTCTGGTGAGCACAGAACGCCAAGGAAATGGAAGAGGCTTAGAATGCCGGTAATGCCCGAAGATTATTTCAGTTGATCCGTGCGACCGGTCCGTGGAAAACTCCTGTGAGCGAAACCAGAAGGGAGTGACAATGTTGAATAAAGAAGAGCGCCTCGATCGGTGGGTCGAATACTTCGGACAATAGCTATCGTGGCCACTGAGTTCCAGGTGAGCCTTTCAAAAAAACAAAGTTGTCTGCAAATGAGTGTATTTCGCTGATTTCGTGCAATTTGATTTCAAATAGAACATGAGGTTGACGGAAACTTGGGGACTGCGCCTATCTGATGAGTCCCAAGAAGGGCGAAACCGGCCGTGGGCTTTTGAAGAATTTTCAGCAACCTTATGATTAGTGCATTGCGAGTAGCCTTGAGGTGATGTTTGACGAGTCGAGAGAGTTGGAAGAGGGGACAGGCGAGTACCACAAATAAAAGAAGGTAAAAAGATCTTGAACATGACTAAATATGTATTGTGTTAAACTTGACAGTTTAAAGCTCAACACACAGAGTAACTAACCTTGCACCCACCATGGCCACAGAACATGTTATGGGTTCACGAACAATCACTAGTTCTCGATGATTAAGGTGTAGAAAATGACGTCCGTAAAACTCAGATGCGCAATGGACACAACGCTTCTTACCTGAAACATCGAGCCGATTTTTAAGAAAGTTCCGTCACCTCCAAGACAGATGACCAAATCCACAGAGTTTGCATTTTGGCAATCATAAATCTTCACCGAGAGGTTTCTGCTCTGTGTGTCATTTGCACTCAAGATACACGGAACCGGGCCGTGATCAGGCAGGTGATCAGCTGAACTCGTAGCCTGCGGACCAGTTGTACGGCCTAGGATGGAACTGAAGTGTGCATCTTTCTTCAGTACAGCAACAGTTTCCGATTCGAGAAAAAGCGTAACATCCCAGGTCTACAAGTTAAAGCGAGTTTAGGTGTGTAGGCTGTACACAAACCCGGAAGGCTACACTATGCAGCAAATCCGAGCAGTCAGTAACGCCAGACAATCTACCTGATGATCGCCTTGAAAGTGGGCAGCACTTTCGACGAAGATCATCAGGCTATAAAAGACAAGTCAAATGTGAACATTTGGAAAATGAGAAATAGCCACTCTCACCAAGCAGTGCAGCCGTACTTGGAATAACTTATGAGCGATTGTCGTGAGGTTGACAAAGCATGCTCCAAACCCTTAGCAATAGCTATGCTTGGGGACATTCAGAAAGGGACTAACGATAAACGACCCTTCAGCCAAATACATGGAGAGAGGTAAATAGCATAGAATTAACTCGGAATGGTAAAGTAGATATGCTACCAACATCAGGTGACCCGGAGATTGACTACACTCATTCTGGTTCCATAACGATTCACTACATGTTACCGTAAGCTGAGTGGTTTACTTTTCGTTCGTAAATACGACACACCCTTCACAAGGGAGCACTTGCAGGGGACAAAATTTCCCCCTCCATTACGGACGTGTCCTGTTGAGAGGTGAGAAGTATGAAGCATTTCCTACGACCTTTATACCGGGTTAACAAAAAACTCAATGTTCTCAGATGCTTTCAGCGACAAACTGACGGTTATGATAACATTGACGACTTTAACTACACTGTCTGCTAAAACAATCAAAAGCCTTGGATATCTGGAATTGAGAGATACTGGTGCGTCAGCAAGATGTGCCCTTCCTCTGGGCCGAAAAAGTAATTTTTGTCCTGGCTAGCAAACAACTGCGCGGTGAAGGTGTACACTAACACAGAAACTATGATAAACATTCAGAAATGCAAAAACCACGAGTTGCCATGTGTTGATTTACTTTTTCGTGTAGCTTCCGTTCAGCTAATACAAAACACACCGTTACAAGTTCAACCATTTTGTTTTTAAGTTCAAAGACAAACCAAAGGCGACGACGTAACCGGACAATTTAGGGAGTGCTAGAAACATCGTCCGTTTTTTGTGACAGTCGACTTGGATTTCAAAAAAATGTCCAAGTGCAATGTCCATAGAGTGTCTTACTGGGGAATGTGAAGGAATACTAGGAGCTTGCTTTCGCAACTAGCTCGTCCTCGAGGGAAAAGTAACATCGCCGATCCAATAAACGTGGAAACGCTGGTCACTCGGAGGGACACCGAGCCTCCCTCAGGCTCTTGGCGAACAACACAGTATGACCTTAGCATCGATCACATCATCATGAGTGTTTGCAGTATAGAAGGTTGCCACAGGCTGCCTGACAACTGCCCTTTGGCTCACCCGGTCCCATCACCAGCTAGTGGTCGGACCACAGGACGTAACGGTGCGCGCTAATCTGAGTCTGATTCGGTTGCCCTGTGCATTGATTTAAGGTCATTCGAAATGTGCACTCCATAGTGGTGTTCAAGACGAAACTGAACATAAATAGTAGTCCTGAAGAACACTACTGATTTTTCGGAAACTTTTCGGCATCTTGTTGCAGGTCCTCACGAGACGAAAAGTGAAGGGGTATGTAGCATGAAGTACATCCCCAAAATCCAGGACTGTTCCTCTATGAACTGGTTCATTCAAAAGAATCCAGTTATCTACACAATCAGAGACCTCGTCAAAAGTTGATAAAAGTCGCGGCTTCTGGCCGACAATATGTATCTTTTGATTGTCTGTCTAGGCTGACAGTATCTCGTTCCTCGTGCTTCCCTTGGGTGGCATGGCAGCTGGGGACCGAAAAGGCTCTACAGCTGAACAAATAGTAGTAGTCATCATCATCATCATCATCATCATAGACAGCATGACATCAGTGTTCAACACCGATGCTTCACTGCCGTGCAAAGATGCTACCAGTGTATTCCTAACCGGGAGAAATCTTCATGGCGCTCCTGATTTTATGCGTCACATGCCAGCATTATGCTTGCAGAACAACTGGACCCATAATCTGCATTATGAGGTGTGATGGCGGTAAATCTGTAGTTCGAAGGACTGTTTCGGACACCTTTTCCAAATGAAGATACAACGGTTGGATGGCTTTTACCTTCAAGTTAACTAAAACAAACTACTTGAGGCAGCACAGAATGATTCACCGCTGTCTTCGAATAACACTGACGGGAGCCTACTTGGATCAGCAGGTTGATGGCGGCTCAATTCATATAATTAGGTGGGGCGCAGACTACAACTCGAGTTTGACGGGTCAAAGGACAAAACAGGGACTGCTTTTGGAAACATTCGGTGCAGCGATCTGGACGATCGGTCCTAGCTTGTTTTAAATTTCTCGTATACTCTCTCTCTCTCTCTAATAGATGTTCGCTTGGACTAGGTTTCACGAGTACCGACGTTAGGATTTTGATAGAGATCTGTATTATTACTATTATTTACGCAAACCCTAGCTGGTAGAAATCCTGCTTCATGTTCTCGGGTTTGAACGTCAAATGCCGGAGTTAGCCGTCGTAGTATAGTGAGAACTGATAACCGTACAAGTATGAGACTTTCATATCCATGATTGAGTCGATCGCTTCGATACTTTTCTGATAGAGGTATCATCGTCGTTTCACTGCCGTACAACCAAAACCTGTTTGAAAACCTTATTATGAAGAAAATAATAAAAGTGGACAGTGCTAGCCAACCGCAATCATAACCACAACCTAGCCACAAGACACTGATTCAGACTCCCTAGATAGAAACTGAAAACGGGAACGCTATTGACGTCAACTAGCAGCTATATCTTGGGGCGTCTCCAACCATACACAGAGGGAATTGCGCAGACTTCATCCCCAAAGGTGAGTCACACCGACAGTATCCAGACTTGCAGTCGGTTTCATTTTTCTGTGCCAGATCAAAGGATGGCCACCTCTTTGCTCACAAAACCAACACAAGAGAAACTTGCTGGTAAGCTTCCTCGAAAGTTCGCATGTCAAATGTTGCAACAGATAAGACTGCAAGGTTGATATAGTAAGTACAAAGCGACAAACATGAGCAGTGATGTTTGGTCACTATCCTGGGCGCTTGAAGGACACGCCTAAAGCCGGGATTTACAGAACGTTTAAAAAGTTGGACAGGTATGGGGTTAAGAAACGATCATGAAAAGAGGTGGGCCTCAACAGTCTTGTTTTTGTTCATCCATCCTACTGTATGAACCGAATAAAACCAGATGTCACCGAGCGACGGTCCACGTAGACGAAAATACTTCCCGTCACGGAAGCCTAGAGATGAGACGACTGCCGTTCGTTCGGGAGTATGCAGCGTGCCTCGTCATACCATTGTGGGGGGGCCCGCTTACCATTTCGCCTCCCCTCAGCTTTGCACCTGCAGAACCAGAGCAACTCCCCTTATCAACTTCGATAAGTTTCAGTAGATGAACAGTATTGGCCTAAAGACTGGAGAGCGACTGGAGATGCACAGCAACGTCACTGGAAAAAACATGACGAATGGAGGCGACTCAGTGATTGGAGCGCGAATCTACGGATCGAAAGGTCCGTGGTTCGAACCCGACCTCTGCCTCTCGATTTCCCTTGTCTGGGCTTCGGCAACCTGGCAGTATCCCAACCCTCGCGCTTCCTTCTGGTGGCATGACAATTAGGCCCAGAAACGGTGCTGCAGCTAGAATTTTTATTTTACATATGAATACTGGATACCGTTGAGATCCGCGCATCTTACTTCTACTGGAAAAGATACCAGCAACTAGCGACAACAATAGTGCACGTAAACCCATCAAACGTCCGATAATCCAGAGCCCGAAAAACGACAAAGAACCCTGGTGAACTGCGAATGCCCACAAGATGGAGAAGGCTCTCACTAGAGGCAACAACTCTGCTATGATCCAGCTGGCTCGGTTAACTGGTCAAAAGAAAATGCGTCAGTGAAACGGTTGTGAAAAAGATGGGGCGGTAATTCATCCGAATAATGGGTTGAACAGTTTAAAGAGCACTTCGGCAGCCCACGACCGGCTTTGCTCTTCTTGGAGTTCATCAGGTAGGCGCCGCACTGATCCTCGATTTGTTTACTATCTTACGGCCCGCTGGCTGTACGTCACCCGAAAATGGGCCATACACGCACAGTCCGGAATGGTTCATTTCGGTAATGTGACCAACAACCGAGTGGAGATTGCGAGCTGTCGCACAATATGTGTGCTTCGTACTCAATTGATAGTGCCGCGGACATGTGATGAAGAAGTCGCTGGACTAGGGAGGATGCCATATTCTTCAAGACGCACAATAAAGTGCAAAGAAAAATACGTACAATATTCTCTAACACTTACTTTTGAAACGAAATCAATAAGATCTTTGAGATGGTCTATAACCTTATCATCGCAAAATTTATGCACCACAAGGATGTTAGTCGGTGGTACTTTCCACTCTAAAACAGTTCTGTCACTGGTATTTATAAATCTGATGTGGAAATTATCAACCTAAACGAACGCTAACTTGTATTTTTTGGGTAGGCCACAGCCCGTCATCGCGTGGGACACCGCCAGCCACGCCCGAATCACGTGAAGGCCCAAGTAGCAGTCTGATTGGCCACACGACACGGAAGTGCATTCCATCCACATGCCCTTGCATTGAAAGCAAGTTTGGGCTTTTGTCCAAGCTTCCCGGGCCATATGTGTTCTTATGTTCAGCGACTTCGGCTCACCTTGAAATTACAATCGAAAAAGCGAGAAACATTCCTCTTCAAGTGTGGGGTAGCATAACTGCCAGCGCGGGGAGTCGCTCAGCAAGGCATCACAGAGATCTGAGGTGTGTTCTAGATGCGGTGTTACGACTGTCGGGGTAACTTTATGCTACACACTCGATGTCAGAACTTCGCTCACTTCTAAGGAGCCACCCCCATCCTCCTCAGATAATATATTCAAAATATCTCTTAAATAATGGAATGCTTGAAGCTAACTCTGCACAGCAGTATAGCATTTCTCATTAATTTTTCGGGACACCAGGATCAACTTAAGTTATCATCATTTACTTAAAACTTGTTTGAATCTATTTTTAGCGGGCATTTTATAGTGTGGTGTTTTGTACCTTTATTTTGCTTTCATTATTGCACTAAGTATTTCTTCAATTGCCCAATCGTTTTGCTGTTCGAATACGAAAAACTACGAAAATGCGCACTTGTACAGAAATCCACGCACTACAGACCTGGTCACGTGCTTCGCCTCTCTATTCTGATTTTGCTTGCGCTTGTAGCGGTCATTCGCGAGTCTCATGTGCTAACTCTGGTATCAAAATATTTCATACCATCTTCAGACCATCTATTATATGTGGGAACTGTTCAGAATAAGACCCCTGGATCACCATAACTGGATTATTGCTTATTCGCTGACCCGGCCAACGGCGAACTATTTTAAAGAGAACTATTATTAGTGAGTCTGTTCCATCTGACCTCTTTGTTATCGTATACCCAGTTTAGCGTTATTATTTTTATTTCTTTGCCGCGCATTCCTTGTAAAATAGCTTATTTGGTAGCCAGACCACTAAAATAGGCGCTGGCTCCGTTTACGGCCCACAAGCGTGTAAGCTCTGTGCAATTTCTACAATCCCCAAAGTTAACATTTTAACTGCAACTCCTGTTCTTTTTCGGCGTTGCTCTGGGATGTTATGGCCTGATTATTTGGAGGGAAACCTAGAGAAAATTGCTTTCATTGTGCTGAAATTCTTTGCCTGTATCGTGTGTTGTAGGAGGCACAAGTGCACATTTCCAATGCCCGGTGTAACGATTGCCACTTGCGATGCATTGAGATATGAATACGCGGGTGTTGCGTCTTGGCTGTCCCGAAACTAAGCGAGCATCACAAATAATTGGTGAAACCCGCCGCAAATGTACAAGTCACCACTGAAACTGGTAGTTCCCATGGTTTCAGGTAAAACTTGCGGAACGCTCTTCAATATCGTTATTCTAGATGACTTACTCATAAAATATCCACAATCATTCAGGTTCTGAAAGGCTAAATCAGCGTGAACATTTGCCGTCGGATGTTGCTCGTTTATTTTCGACCTTTTTGTGCTTTCACAACAAACCATCAGTTTACACCTGGGTACGTTATCGCAGAGACATGGCGTGAGGCTTTTTGCTTGTTTACATGGGGCAACAACTAACTGTCTCACCATCCGCACGGCAATTTGCTTGGGGCGAATTTACGCGGCGTTGTGGAAGAGCAACATATACCTCTAATTAAATACCCGCGACTGGTTTCGTTATCTAACGCCTCGTCAAGTGGGCACAGTTTGATTTTTCTTCAAACCTGCGCTCTTTTTTGTCCTAGATTGCCTGAAATCCAACGAATGCACTCATTTACGTACGTACTAAGAAATATGTCCAGCTGGGAGTCAAATGAGCCAAATTAGTATGTTAATGGATGTTTGCTGATTTCAAGTAACGCGATTTTGCTACAGCATCGGTTGATGCGACTTTAATGCAGTTACTCTGAGTACACTGCTGCCTGAGTAATATCTTGTAGTGATCCCCGACGTAAGAGCGGAAGGCATATGTGTTCGGGACATTCGTGTAAGATAAACATCGATGCTCTTCTTTCTCGTGTGTCCTGTCATGATGATCAAGTGCTAGAAGGGCTGTCTATTCTTGCGGATCACATTATATCGGTGGCCAATCGGTACGCTATATCTAACACTGAGTAAATAATGATGCTGTTCTAAATATGATACATTTTGTTTCAGAAACATTCAACAGGACTGAAAGCGGAAACTAATCGCTATTATTCCGTGGAAGAAAAAAGCATTTTGCCTTTAAGCTTTCGCGTGCCTAAGGGAACCAACGGAAGTTAGTTTCAAAGGAACACCTTTGTAAAATGTTCAACTGTTATACTTTAAACCGGTCATGCTAGCAGCCATCTGGTTAATTTGTGAAGATTTTAGGGGCAACCGGAATTCGGCGACGTGAGTAAAAATTAAGGTCCACTAAAAAGCCAACCACTCAGTAGTTGCAGAATGGAATTCACTTCACGGAAACGATGGTTTTCTCAAAGTCACCACTTCATAGTTAAGAATGTCTCTCGCTAATGAAATGTCCTGCGGATACGTATTATGGTTGAGCCAATCTTCAAGGTTATCGGTTACGCGAATCCAAAGGTGCTCAACTGTAGAATATGACGCCCATACAATGGGGAAATTGGCGGATAGTTTTATGGCTGTAATGTTCTTTGGAATTGCGAGAGCCCACACTGCAGTCATGGACGCGACATATAACAAAGTTTTGCCTCTGTTATTAAAGTTAGCCTTATATCCAACAGCCGACTAGATAGAGGACGAATCATGTGTTTTCGGCCCTTATGAATGGCCGCTCCGCTCACCACAGGCACATTAATTATGTTCGGGAAACCAGTACTATATATAAAAAACTTGAGGCTCCAAGGTAGGCACCATAGCCGCAGTCTGGGTATCCCGGTGCACCGCTTGATTTCAGCGTGGATGTATTAGGTCAGCGGTACCCCATAAACTACCTACGTTGAAAATTAGTCGATCATAACGGACATCTGGACGAACTTAGCTGTCTTTTACTTTGTACTCCTCATCAAATCAGTCATTGTCAGTACGGTACACGTTCTTTGCACGTTTGCGTGAACTCCTTCTCCCAAAAAACTTCTACACCCGTCCCCGCTCCAGCAGCGCCTTCTAGTGAGTCAATCGAGTTTCACTGCACACTATGATTCTTAATTTCCTTCTTATATTCATCCGTACTCCATATTCCCCGATTCACCATCCTCACTTACGCTTTTTTGTGACGCTAGCCATAAGCCCAACGGATAAAGGCCACGAAGCTTTGGTGACGGTTTCAGGCTTCATTTCGAACAGGCCGATAAGATCCTCGCCGTTCTGCTGTTTCTCCAGATCCAGTATTCTTGTTCTCCATTTTCTGCAGTTTGAAGTTTTTCATCACGTACCAAGAAGGAAGCCTCCTGCTATGCCCTCTTCGTATTGTTTTTGCCCTCCACTTTAAAGGCTTCACGATCGTATCTCGTATCATCAGATAAGTGCTCAAAAGTAGGGGAAGAACCCTTGTAACTTTGGTTCCCCAATCGTGCCGCCTTAGGTGTGATCAAGTCTACTTCGGATTATGCCCACTGTTTAGGTCACCATCCTTTTCCACGAAATTCCTAGTGCCCACTAACCCCACCAGGCATGCCTTCATTTTGCTTGTAACATTATGACCATACCTGAAGGTGTGCCACCCACTGGTTGGGAATGAACATTATTATTATTGTTTACATGCGACTTTTGGTCCACAGTGCCTAGACAACTAGCTGCATAAAACGTACGTTGGTCATGGTGGACAGCGAAACGATCCTAGCTGACTAACATGGCTAAATGTAGCTAGTGGCCCATGATGCATATTCAACTGGGCAACACGCTCCATGCATCTTCACCAGGAAGAGCGAAATGGCCCAAATGTACAACAATAAAAGTTGAAATACACTGGATGTGGCAGTTAATAAATACATCTTTCCGAAAAGTATATGGCTTTCCTGGTGCGCAGCATTCATCGAGTTATTCACGTTCTAAAATGAGAGGAAAATATAAGTTAGGTTGTGGAATTATCATTACGATACAGGCGGCTGCCGAACTGGGAGCAATAATTACTCTATGAAATAAGCAATCCCTTAGCAACGGCCTCGTTACTGCTTGCTGACTATGAGGCCTCAAGAAATATGAGTAATTCATCAAATACATGATGTCCCATCAACGGCACGACAGTCTGAAATTTATGAGCTTGTACGAGACCCACAAAATTACCGCCGTCTTCCTCATCTAAAAATCGCTCCGCAGCACTGGCCCTAATATGATACTGTTAACTCACGCCTGTCGAATACCTTCTCCTTGGAGCCAACTATTGAGGCGTACAAAAAATTCCGTGTCACAATGTTTATAATCTGTGCTTTGATCCAGAACAATACCATATGATGCCTTCACTTACAGACTCACGGACTGATACGCGGGATCGAGGCTTTTGCCCAAGATTCCAGATTCGGTTTTGTTCTTGTCTTTTAGTGGCTGTCGTTCACCTGAACGGCACAAGTAAAAAGGGTGTAGCACAGTCTTTTATGTTCTCAGCGGAGCACTATGCTTTCCAGCGCGAGGATTCGCATAAATACATGTCTAGTAGTGCTTTGAACTAAGTTCTAGAAGGAGCGTGGACAACCGTCGGAAGAAGGTCATACCACGCGGCTGCAACCCAAAATGAGAACAAAAATTGCTTAATGAATGTGTGCCTTCCTAGCTTGAAAATCTCACTATAGCCCGACCATATTTTTTTTGCTCGGTCAACGGTAAAAGATCTGTTGGCCAAGCTTTGTTTAGTCAGGGCATAAGTAAGAATAAGTTCCCCTCGGAGGCGACGATACTCCAGGGAAGGAGGTCAAGCACCCGAGACGTGTTTCGTAGTCCACTTGAGATTGGCAAAAATTTTTGTGGCGGCTCGCTGGACATGCTCAATGAGGGTGACGTCCTTCGTGCGTCCTGAGCAGACAACTTGGTTGGCATATTCCAGGAGCAATCTGATGTAGGGCACATAGAATATATGGAAGTAAATGGGAGTAATAGGGTAAAAGGTATGCCAGATCATCCGTAAAATGGTGCAGTAAGTAGG